AAAAAGTTTTTAGGAGCATTTTTCCAGCCGAAAATAAAACACTAAATGATGCTAAACGCTACTAAAATGCTCCTAACAGCTTTTGCCCACCTTTTTTTCCTCCTCTACATGTAATATAAAAACACTAATAAAACAGTAATGCTCCTAAATGTTTCTGAATGCTATTGAAATGCTGCAAAAAATTACATTACCAGCATTTTTTTTTAATCCAGAGCTTTTTGAGCTTAAAAAAAGGCTAATGTGCATGAAGCCTCAGTCTCTTTCTAAATAGTTTATAGTGTATCTGTCTACCTTCCTAAAGTACACAGCTTGGGTAGCACCATTACTTGGTAGTTTATTGAATACTAACTCAAATGTTATCATACTCTGGCTATTGTTACCTTTGGTTTTGACATACAATCTGGTCTATCAGGAATGATCGAGTCTAACAGAATTGCCCCTTTTAATTGATTTGGCTACCGCTTGTTTAGGAAGATTGAGGTTATAAATGTGTTTTTGCTAGAGTCACAATGTTTCATTTGATGTAATGCTAATTGGTATAGCCTTCGTGTTTCGGATAACCCTAATCCCTACTATATTACCCCCAGATTCCAAGTTAAAATCTCCTCCAACCTCCCAACAATTATTTTGCACAGCACAGCTTTAGCTTCCATAATGAAGTTCATTCCCACCATGGAGTCTAAAGCGGAGTACACACTGTCCAAAAACTGGCCGGTTCAGCAGGAACCAGCCGACTTTCGGTCACTGTGTACAGCAGTCTGTGAGGCAGAAGCCAGTCTTACAGTCATGGTTGCTGATCAGTGTAGTTATTGTGGGATGGGGGGGGGATCCCCCTGTCTGAATACAATAGCACAGCAGGGGAGATCGTCACAGCAGCATTGTATAGGATTTATACAGTGATCTTTCAGCTTCTACAGGGCTAATAGCTAACTAAACCCCGGTTCAAACACAAACCCTCTCTTTCTGCACCACTAGCCACTGGCTTTCATGTTACCGCTGTGTTTCTCATATAGCATCTGGCACTGCTGAAATATCTGAAAATATTAGATTCGAGGTCCTGAATTTGTGGAAATTCTTGTTTCCTAAAGTCATTTTTGTGACCCAAACATTTTTTCTTAAAGTTCCACTAAAGGCAAAACTTTTTTTTTTTTTTATAGAGCTTTTTTGCCATCTATGTCCCATTGCAGAGAGATTTCCTTTTGCTTCCTGTCCTGTAACCAACACAGGAAGCAAGAGAAAATCCCTTCAAAGTGAGGGAATCCCAGCGTGTCACCATAACTAGTGTCTCCATTTGAAGATATCCCCTTCCCCCTCCTGTTCTGGTGACAACCCAAAATTTGGGATTTTATTTTTATTTTCACTTTTGATGATAGTGGTAAACAGGACAAATAGGAGGAGTGAATCTCCCTAATGGTGGTACAGACAGCAAAAAAAACCCTGACAAGATTTCTAATCACTCTCCACTCTATCCAAAACTAACATAAAAAATGTTGCCTTTAGTGATACTTTAAGTAAAGCTGGACATACACTAGTAAAATTTTAAAAATATATAGGATGAAACCAGCCTATATCCCCGTGCTGAAGAAATGGTGAAAATATTGGTATACAAAAATAAACTAAAAATTATTAAACCAGTACGTAAAAATTTAAACCAATCTGCCATTTTAAATAACAAAAAAAATCTATAAACAGTGACTAAAAAAGTACACATAAACAGCGCTATGTGAAAACACAATGTCCAATTGGTATAAAAAGATTAAAAAAAAAAAAAAAAAAAATTCCATCAAAAAAAATAAAATAAAATTATAATGTGAAAATTTCAATTCATTCCAGTGGTAAATGGTCTCTTTATGATAAAGTGATCCACCATCCATGTGATCCTGCAGTGATTAACACCCCATTGGATTCAACACTCACCAGAAGCCGGTGAGTAACCAGCAGTGGAAAATCAGTAGGAATTCAATCAATCTCCTTAACCACTTCCAGACCGGACACTTTTACCCCTTCCTGACCAGGGCAATTTTCAGCTTTCAGCGCTATCAAACTTTGAATGACAATTGCGCGGTCATGCAACACTGTACCCAAATGAATTTTTTACCATTTTTTTTGAGACAGATAAAGCTTTATTTTGGTGGTATTTATTCACCGCTGGGATTTTTATTTTTTTTGCTATGTAAATGAAAAAGTCCAAAAATTTTGGAAAAAAGTGTTTTTTTTTATAAAATTTTGCAAATAAATAATATTTCATCATAAATCTTTGCCAAAATTTATTCCGTTATCGTTTTAGTAAAAAAAAAAAATCCAAATTAGTTTATAACCAAAAATTATAATTTTTAAACATTTTTTTTTACATTTTTATTTTATTTTTTTTATATTATTTTTTTTTTTTTTTTTTTTTTTTACATACTGTCACCCTAGCAGTACAGTGTCACCATGGTGACACTGTACTACTTGTGGGGGGTGATGAAGATTTTTTTTTTTACACTGATTTCTTTTACACCCATATAGGATGTAAAAGCAATCATTTCTCTCTCTCTCTCTGTGCATTCTTGCACTCATTGAGAAGTACTGAGTGAGCTGTGATTGGTCACAGCTTGTCACATGGTACAAGGCTGTTGTGAATAGCCTTGTACCGTGTGACCTCTGTGATCATTCACAGATTTCGCATGTAGTAAGCAATGATGTCACAAGTGACATCTTGCTTACTACTTTGCATGTGATCACTGATTGGCCAATCAGTGATCACATGATCGGGACCTCGTACAGAGGTCCCGTCCGACGATCGGAGGACACAGCGGGCACCGGATCGCGGTGCTGCGCACTCCTAGGGAGCGCGCACAAGCAGGGTGCAGGGAGGCCGTTTATAAACGGCCACCCGACCCTGCAGTGCCACCGTCCGGCCGTTTATATGCAACGGCCGGTCGGGAAGTGGTTAATAATGAATGGTTGTCAAATCTCAAACTTGATAATCAGACAGCAGCCCAAAAGGATCTCTAATCAATCGATTATTAGTATCTCATACTCCGATCGCCTCCTCTCTCCACACAGCTCTGGACCACTCAGTTTTTTTTTTTTTTTTCCTTTATCCTTTTATACCAATTGGACATTGTGTTTTGATATAGCGCTGTTTATGTGTACTTTTTTTAGTCACTAGTAAAATTTAGTTTGAGATATTATCATTTTATGAATGTTCGTTCGATTTTTGAATTGTGACTGGAATCAAATTGACATTTGGTGTCAACCTCAGTCACAAGAAAATTCGAAGGTATAGGATGGAAATCTTTTATTGAATGAACACATTCAGGAAGGTCCACTTACTTAAAATTTGAATGATAAAAGCAAACGAAATTCTTAAGCACTTTTGAATCACATTCAATAAGTCATAGAATATACAGAGAATTTTCCTATGAATTTCCACACAACATACTAGTATATGGCCAGCTGTATTCTTTGTCCTCATCCCCACTCAACAATCTGTCCATGTGATCTGTAATATGCAGGCAACATGCTATATGCCGGGGGTCAGCAACCGGGAGATCGTGTCCAGGTGACTGGTAGATCGTGGGCTGGGCTTGCTGGGGAGCAAGAGCCGCATAAGCTGATGCTCTCCTCTGTAGTGATGGCTCCTGTCCCATGCGGAGTGATACCAGCTGCACTCCACCTCTAATCCTGGCTAGCAGTCTCCAGAGTGGTGCCAGCAGCAGAAAAGAAGAGATCTTCAGGTCAGTGTGAAGCAATACATTGGGCATAATAGTATAGGGCCGCTTTCATACTGAAGTGCTGTGGCTTACCCACACCGTGGGTGCAGTGTACCTGTAGCTTTCCTGCAGGTTTTCTGCACTTAGCCATAGACTTCTATTATATATCTTGCAGGTTTGGTGCAGGTTTCCTAAATGCAGGAATTTTGGTGCAGTTTGAGAAAGTGCATCACACCTGCAGGATAAATTAGAAATTTATGGCAAAGTGCAGCTAACCCAAGAAAGTCGCAGATGCACTGTGCTGCACCCACAAGGCAGGTAAGCCCCAGCACATCAGTGTAAAAGCAGCCTTACAGGGAGCTCAGAACAGTAAGTGTTCATTTACATTTTCAGTTTGGGGGTGGAGTGGTAAAACCCCATAGTCAAGACGTGTTTTTACCACCTGCCCCAACCGCACACCCTTTAGCTGCAGTGGTCAGGGGTGTACACATGTTGCATCCACAGCAGGAGTTATACGCCCTGTCATGGTTGGTGGGTGTAGCACCTGCCAAGCATGACCCATTCAAGTGAATGAGGCCCCTTTGCAAGTACCCTGCAAAGTACAGCAAACAAGGGGTTAGAGCAGACAGCTTTATGTTGCTTTCTCACCACCTTCTTTAACCCCTTGGACCCTGTAGAAGCATGCAGTTGCAGGGCACTTGCAGAGTGGCCCCATTTGCTTGAATAAGTCATGATTGGCAGGCAGTAGCACCCACCAAAAGCAGTTTAATCCGTGCTGCGGTATGTGTACACCCTTGGCTGATGCCTCAGCAACTAAAGGGGGTAGGGATTGGGGGTGGTAAAACAATGACTCAACAGCAGGGTTTTACTGCTCCCCTAAGGGAGCCGAATACAACTAAGAGCTCATTCACAAGTGTAGCAGGCACTGCTGCTCCTCTGAAAAGCAATCCAAGTATGTTTGACAGGTGGTGAGCAGTGATATGTTGCCTCCTCAAAGCCTGATTTAAACCCATGATTGCCGTGCAATGCATGTGATTTCGGCACGGTAGTACAGCAATTAGAGGTTTAAATCAGTTGTGAGGAGGCGACACTGTGCCCAGTGATCTTTGACTTCTCCCATGTTGTTCAGGTAGATCTTCACCTCTTTAGGGTTGTGTACCCCTGCTATATACCATTTGTAGTCTTCACAACAGAATACCCATATGTTAGAAAATTGTCCCCACCTACTAGCCCTATCTATCTGGATTTTCTATTCCAATTGCAGCAGCCATTCAACTGGTTATAATACAGGCAACAACTTACTGGTTCCTGGACGGATGTCAGACATATCAATAAGTGGCCCAGAGTTTTGGATCAATGCAGGGTGATGCAAAGAAACTCCAGTACAGAAGCTCTGTGGGTTCACAGTTGGGCTGAATTCAGGGTCTGTCACCGGCAGTGTTGCTTTATCATCTCCTGCTCAAGAGACAAATACAGAGACAATGTTATTATAAAGATTCAGTGCTATATACAAACATATATCTTATGAATTAGGATGCAATCATTTATTTTTTCATGTCTGAAGAACAATAGAACTTCAGAAGATGAAAAGCTACCAGAACATTGAGACATCACACAAATAAAGCAAAAAGGAAAGTACACTAACAGCGGCCAATCAGAATTTATCTTACTGACCAGAATTTATCTTACTGACTTACTCTCTCAGCCTGGTGGTATTGCACATTTTGTGTTTTCCTTGAATAAATCCAGTTAGCTCTACCCAGATAAATGAAGCATGGGTGTCTTAATGTATGAAAAATATGTATGGTCTTCACAAAGATATATAAAAAATGTCTAAACTACGTAGATAGGTTGTATTTATACGGATGTGGAATTATAGCTAACATTACGTGAAATTTCCTTCACCTCGCATACAAGTACCATTACCATTGATCACTCAAACACATGATCAGACTGTCCTAGTTGTGTTGTAGCAACATTTACTCATGTTTCCAAAGCCACCCACAGAATTCATCATGTCCAGTGACTTGTAGGGAAGTATTTAGACATTAAAAGGAGTGATGGCCTTTTTTCCACAGTTTTCCAATGCATTTTGTATGATTCCTCATAAAATGAAAAAAAATATCCCCAGTTTTAAAGTGTACTGCATATACTGTAGTGGGAAATGCATGCCGTATGTAATGAGGTTTTTCCTAGCTGACTCTCTTTCCCTCTGGTATCATCCATGCACTAATGAAATCAGAGATTACCAACTAAGCAAATCAGAGTGTCATTGCTCATTCTGTATTTCAGTAATCCAAAGCCAAGCATCAACTATCCAGATCAAATAAAGAAAACCTACTTATTTACCCAGAATTTTAAATGAACTACAAATACATTGATGATTTGTTCTATATGAATTGTGTATCATGTATATACAACAACTGCAGTCTGCAAAATAAGGTTGTTCTTGTCTGTAATCAGCTAGAATGCGATCTGCTTTATTATCAACCAAGATATTCCATTGCATGGTGATCCAATCTGTGCTGCTTGCAGTCAGCTTGAAAATGTTTATTGTTTTCACAAAATTTAGAAGTTCAGACCAGGGGCGGACTGACAACTCAGGGGGCCCCCGGGCAATAAGAGATCATGGGGCCCCTGAGTTGTTGCTCACACTCAAAAAAGCCTATGAAAGGTACCAGGGGCATCTCATGGGACCCCCTGCTGACCCTGGGCCCTCGGGCAGTGCCCGAGTGCTCAAATGGTCAGTCCGCCCCTGGTTCAGACATTGGGATACTTGCTCGCAAGTGCGTATCAGATCAGGCAGCTGAATAACTACATCTATGACTATTCTTATACTATAATCTTGCAATCATTGTAAAATAATCTTTTAAAGTTGCCCACACGGAAGCATTTTCAGGGTCAATATCTCCTGAGTAGTTTAGTCTCTAAAAACATCTTTTTGGAAGAATCACTCCTATGTCACTGATTTTGAGTTCCATGTAGATCCTTACCAAGTTGTTTAACACCCTCTTTATCTTCAATGAGAAGTTGGACCCTGGGGATATCGATGTGTAGCCTTGGTCCAACTGGTGGTCCCTTCACAGGTGTATCAAAAGTGCGGTTGTTTTTGCTGGTATCATAATGGAAAAATTAGCAGATATCAAACAAATCAAAGAACCGCAGACAAACAATCTGGACAGTTGTATGTTGGGGCAAAATAAGTTTTACTTACCTAATTAGCATCTCTGCCAGACTTTTTGCATCTACAGAAAGAAAGAAAAATCAGCTATCAAGTGGCCACTTACCTCTATTATAATATCCACAGTTTATAAATAAACACAATGAGGGGAATTTATCAAAACTAGAACAGCAATACATTGCAACCAATCAATTTCTATCTTCCAGTTTTAAAGTGTAACTGAACAATCTGAAGATAGATGCCGATTGGTTGCCCTACACGTTGCTCCTGATTCTGCCTGCTCCAGTTTTTATAAATGTCCCCATTATATCTCAGAAGTATGAGACCACACTTTGTTTCAGAAACCAGAGTCATGGTTTTGAATGTGCCTCTGTGTTAGTGTCCAAATGAAAAAACACACTTATAATAATGTAACACATACAGTCTGCAGGTCTTGAGTATACTTTTGCACGTGCCTGCTGGGGAAACAAAGGCTTTTTGGCAGTGAGATCATTTGCTAATGTACAAATGCTGTCAAATGTCTGTGGGCAGCCTTAGGGCTAAACTACATTGAAGATTTTAATCTCTTTCTGCTCAGCAATGTAGCTTCTTATCAGTAGTCCTGTCATTTATAACACATTGAAATCAGTGTGCTGCTACTGACATGACTGGCAACATGTGGTTAAATCTCTCAGTAGAAGGAGATTAAAGGAAAACTGTCATTACAACAATAAAGGGACTGCCATTGCTGACCTTCTATAAATGATAGTTGCCTGGCTGTCTTTGGCTGTAGAATCTTCTGATTCACAAACCCCAAACAAGCAAACAGTGAGTGAATTTGGAAATTCTAACCTGTGTACTTGTTTTGAGTCAGTAGCTCCAATTACTGAAACCAAAGTGTAAAGTGCCAGTTTGCATATATGGAGATTGTATGCAGTTTGAACCACATCCAATCTGCATGACATGTGAAATAACACTGCTTCCCATGGTGCCTGTTCACATATGTCCGTTGCACTGGCAGTTCACATTCAGTGCGGTCCGATTTCTGAGCAGTGCAGTCCGGTCCAGGTGCGGATTACAGATAATTGAGTTCTATGGGAACTGTTTCTAAACTGCATATGTCATTAGTTGTGAACAGGATAAAATCCTGACCTGAACCAAATGTAAACCTGACCTGAACCGCTGAACAACTACTGTATCAATTAACTGTGAAACCTGAGCTTCAATCTGTACTGCACATGTGTGAACCAGCACCTAGCATGGCAGCCGAACAAGTGTTTTCAGAAGAGCACCAAACTGGAAGTGTACCAATGTTTTACCAAGGAACTACAGTTTTATTGCAAAACAAAGTGCCACAATTTAGTATTTGGTGTTTCACAGATACAAAGAATGCATGCAAATATACTGCGTTTGACAGATTTATACATACTAGAGTGTCCTACTCTGCATTTTGTTCAAAGTTCTGTGTTAACATTATTAGCTACTAGCATGCAAACTGACAGAATATCAATGACTGCACTACAATATTTCCCCAACATGATAGCTTTTTTTTTACTCTCATTTGTTTCTCACAATTTAACAGACAATGTCTCACCTGCACAGTACAGAGAATTGAGACTGGGGATACAGAACTGCTTATAAAATACAAATAATGTTGTAAAGATGTACATCGATTAATCGTTTTGTTTTTTTTTGTTCAGTCAACCACAGATTCCCACATCCACACAAGCAAGGTTGATGGATGAATCCTCCCCATTGCATCTTGACAGCAGGATTTCTCTATTATCAAAATACACTGATCCGCGGCCGCAGTGCTGATCGACAAATGTTTTCCAGCATTCCTGTTCATCAAAAGTCTTTAGGTCTACTTCTCTTGAGTGGGAAAGGCTATAGATGGATCAAAATTCAGCTGGTCTCTGCTGAACTGGCTGAATGTCAATCCATCTATGGTCAGCTTAATTCTAGTAACTTTTTAATAATCAAACACTTAGAATGTTTCCCTCTCTAAAGGAAAATAAATTGCATATATGGATGCATTTGCAGTCACAGAATTTGGGGTCTCTAAAGATGTTTGATTCCCCTCATAAATGTAGCCCAGCTTTTTCAGGAAAGATCAAAGAAAATGATAATATGCAAGGTGCAGCAACCTGTAGAAAAGACCAGATTTCAGAGAAAAAATAATTCTGATTGGTTGACATGGGTTACTCCAATTTGTGCATAGCTTGATGCCTTGTTGGTTTATGTACAATGTATATCATATATTATGCTTGTGTGTATTCTATTACACAATTCAGTACATGACTCTTCCTCACCTCTAAGCCTCTTCAGCCTCTTCTCTTTCCTCTTCTTACGTATAATAAATAAAAGTGCAACTCCAACTGTGGCAAGTATGACAGGACTAGCTATGGAGAAAAGCTTCTTGACATCATCACCCTCACCCTGAGCTGACTTAATGGGAGGGATAGTACCTAGGGAGTTAAAGTCATATTGGATTAAGAACTGTTAAACATACAAAAAAAATAAATCATTAGTCCATGTTTTTGCTTGAAACTGGATCATTGTAGGCCTATTCAATAAAGAAGTGCAATATGTATTGGTAATGAACAACCAAATTTCAGCCAGATCAGATAAAAGTGTTTTTTGAATGGCTGCTAGTGTTGCTAGTGTTTACCATGTGTTGTACATTGCTATTTTCTGTCTGTGTTTGTAGTTTCAACTATTTAATTCTTGTCTCATGAAGCTTTTTACTTGCTCAGTTCATTACCCGAGCTGAGAATGTGGTTACAGAGAAATATTTCTCTTACCATAGGAAACAGTCCAAATTCTACCTGTCACTTTGTAATGCTGGTTCAAAATAATAGTTAGCACTTGCATCTTGCTATGAGCAAATCTTTACATAATTTCTTCTGTTTTCATGTATAAAGTGCTGTGTACAACAACCTGTTAATGACCATACTACATGTATTTACTTTCATTTCCATTACTGACAAGTATTTAGGTCAATGGCAAAAACAAAAAACACTACATTCACACTATTTAAAACTGATAAGTTTTTCAAAATTGATTTGTTCTTTCTGATTGATGCAATACAGAGCATAAAGCAAATCGGTGTATATGTGTACATATATATATATATATATATATATATATACACAGCACACAATATATGGTGAGGATTTGCAATATGTGTTTCATGAAGGAAAGTTCTAAAGACATCTATAGTGTACTATTTACAGAACAACTTCCTGTAATACCAATTGACCCATAAAACTTATTTCTGGCATATAAGAAACAGGTAAAGGCAGGCCTGGACTGGCCATAGGGCACACTGGATACTTACGTGGTGTGTGGGGCCGTATGTCCTAACAAGAGCTGGCTGGCTAGGTGGGCCGCAGGGATAGCATATAGAGGAACAGATCCATCCATTTCCCTCCTGCCACCACTGAATGCCTGCTTCTCCTAATTTCCCTTCTGCAGGCATTCAACAGGACAGAAATGGATGGATTGGTTCCTCTATATGCCACCCACTGCCCCTCCTATCCATCTTCTTCTTTCTCCTGCCCCTGTGCCCCTGTGCCCCTGTCCTCTCTCCTGGTCCCCCTGTGCTCTCAATGGACCCCCGTGTACTTTCTCTTGGACCCCCCTCCTCCCCCACAGTGCTGCCAGGTTACCCCTCCCTCTCCCACCAGCTGCTGGGGGGGGGGGGGGGGGGGAGAACTGTCAGGATGGAGAGCGGGGAAGGGGACGGTAAATATTTAGTTTTCCGGCCCCTTCCTTGTCTTATTGGACAGTGAGTGATTGGTACCAATCACTGACTTTGTCCATTCATAACTCAGGTATAATAAACTGTGTTTACTATACTTTAGTTTATGAATAAATGGGAAGTTCTGTGCAGAGTTATTCCTGTCCATTCATTCTGTGCTGCTGAGGCTGCAGAGATGGAGATTGAGGAGATGGCGATATGTCCTCAATGTCCTTTCTCTGTTTCAAAGGTGAGATGTCAGGGGTATGTTTAGATCCCTGATATCTAATCAAAGTTTGGTAAAAAATAATAAAAATAAAATTGTAAAAAAATAAATAAAACAAAATGGTAAAAAAAAATTAAAAACATAGAAAAACTACTGACACCAGTGGCGGAACTCCCAGGATTGCAAAGGTCACACTTGTGTTCCACCACGGGGCTCCAGGGGAAGGTCCCCTGGGCTCGGGTCTGCTCAGTCTAAAATGCCTGAGCCTTTTTTTTGTCCCAATCCGGGCTTGGGTAAAGGGATCATCTTTTTGGATGGACAATACATACATTTTTGCATTCTATTACAGAAAGGAGTAGGACTGGAAAGTCTGTCTAAAAAAAAAGTTATTGGATACATATATGTCTTCCTTTACTGGTAAAAATGAATAACTTCCAGAAATTATTAATGGCCTATCGCAATATATTAAATGCAGAAAGAAGTGGAGTGCCAAAGAAATGCATTAGTGAGTCACTTGCATTCTATCCTTATATGTATTAAAAGTTAACAGTTAATGCATTTTGAGCTCTTTTCAGGACTAACATGCAAAACTCACTGACTCATGTTAGCCTTGAAAAAGGGGGGGTTCTGTGACCCTCAAAATACATTGGATGCTATCTTTTAACAAATAACTTCTAATAAGTGTTTAACTTGACTGACTCACTTATTCATCTCTTTGGGGCACCACCGATTTGTACATTACAAGTTTCACACAAGGGCCCAAAATGAGTAAAAGGTAACTGATGTTGAGGTGCAGCCTTTTGACTTGCTCTTCACTTCAGCAAAATCTGTGTGTTAATCATACATAAACAAAGGGTCTTCAAAAAGTTTTTGCAATATTATATTTATTTTTTAAAAAGTGCAGAAACCTTTTGAAGAACCCTTGTATAAATATTTAATAGGGAAAAGTAATCATATCTTTAAATTTTTCCCCTTTTTCTGTTGTTTTTTTT